ATGCAGGGGCGCTGTACCAGTCTCACAGCTGTCCCACCACAACAGTACCCTGAAATCTTTTTTTCAGAACCTGCCATGGCAACAAAAAGCATGCAACAGCATATCTAATGGTGTAATTTTTTATGTAGACTCTTAAGAAATGAACAAATGTGATATTTATATTTTATACTGACAGCTTGTATTAACCTGTACTTGTATATTTGTATAAATTGTAGTTCACTTACACACCTCTTTGATATAATCTGCAGCTAGCTTCTTTGTTAGGTTATGCTTGCTCTGAGCTACAAGTAGAGGAAGTGAATGTGTTTGTTTGTGTTTATAAGCCTTGTATACTGATAATCACCTCCATCTATCTATCTATCTATCTATGTAGATAGACGAAGTATAAATATTGTGCATTATTTTCAGACAGCATTTTGTTTTGTGCCATTGTTAACAGTTAATATAATAAACTGTACTGACATAACAGGTAAAGGATAAATATTCAATGTTAAAGAAAAATCGCAGAATAAAATATAAATGGAAACAAAATAATCCTCCTCTGATGATTTGAATCAAAAATTTCACATTTGGATTCATTGCTCTATCAGACAGTCCAGTTCCTGCGTAACTTTCACAGCCTTTTCTTCCCGTTTCTTTAAGAATGGCGTCTCGACAGCCACTCTTCCACTGAGAACGTTTGTGATGAGGCTTCAGTGAACAGTAGATGGATCAGCTGAAGATCCCTCAGGTCCTGTCAGGTCTCTGCTGGACGTTTTCCTCATGACTTTCAGATACTGTTTATCTGCAGACAGTATTTTTAGACCCACCAGTCCTCAGTTCAAAGTGTGCTATCTTTGGCATTCTGCAGAAATTCAACCAAAGAAACTGGAACAAATGATATTTTAGCTACAAGCAGTTAGTAACAAAGTGTAAACATTTGTTTCAAATTGGTTCTTTGCTAAGTTGTATCTACACAACCCTGTTTCATCCCTCGGGTTTGGAGTATTTTTATGCAAAATTGATTCATAGATCAGTGTAAATGATTTAACAAAGAAAAACTTTAAAAGAGATTCAGAAAGAGAACTGCTGCTCAACAAGAAAGTCTGTCTGATTCCTACGAAGCAACATATAAAGAAACGAGGGGTGACTCAAGACTTTTGCACAACTGCAAAGCCAAATAGAGTTGATCAGCATCAGTCACTACATGACAGAAACACACGGTTCATGTTGTTTATCCATAACTGATGAGGCTTATTGAACAAAAACATGTTAAAATGAGGTTTTAATCGTTTTAGTCATCTTCGTTTCTTATCAATTCTTATAAATATTTAGAGAACTTGTGTTTACAACACAGTTGAACAAATATTAAGACTCATAATATGATCATTTTTTCATTTTCCAGAAGCTGAGTTTTGTCTCTGGATTAAAATATTTTTAAAAATATTTGATGCAAAACAAATTATTACAAAAACAACACATTTCAAGGGCGATCGTGGCTCAAGAGTTGGG